AACGAGGAGCATCCTCCCCACCACCGACCTTTTCCATTTCAACCCTCCCTACTTCCCAATTGCTTGTGCTTAATTGGTTAGTAACATCCAGCCGTTGTTAAGAAACAACGCAATTCTTATTTATATTGTGCTTAGTTTTGTACACTGGTAATTTATTTGACATACCATAGCTGATTATAACGTATCCTAGGTACACAATGCAAACTGCAACCTGGCTTAGCACACAGGTTATGTCCATACTGCCTCAGTGAGTATAAGCTGACACTGTTATTTACTGGTAAAATGCAAACTCTTTGGAAAAACAGGGTGCAGGGTTTATAAATTTATTACTGTATCCAACTTATTTTATGGAATATTCCTGTAATTCAAGTTTCAGTAATTTTTTTAAAAAGAACTTTCAATACTCAGTCTCTTCTGTTATTAGCCACAGGGATCAGGGGAAACTGAAATTCAGTTAATAATTAACTGGATATTGGAACGCACAATAAATAACAATAAAAGGTTTGGGAAATAGTGAATTAGAACAAAATCAATGATTAAGACATGATTCCAGCAATTATGTAAAAATGTTTACTCGTTGAAAACTTTTTTTCTCTCAGACTACAATTGTGCCACCACTTGGGACCATGGAACTTTGTAAAGGCAGGATTACTCGCAGGTAAGGTGTGTGAATTCCACTTTTTTTAGATCCTAAAATGCATCAGAAACAGTCGGGCTGATTCCTATTTAGCAGGAATTGAGATGAATGACTTACCCTGTGAAGTGTGGGGTCCAGCCACTTTTTAGAAAAATAACCTGATGAATGCAACAAAAATAAATTACTGCTGACTGACTGGTAGGAACAGATCCTGGGCAAGGCACTCATAGAACTGTGTATTGTATATGCTGTCAAGTAAGTAGCTGAAAGGGAGGCCCGGAGGGTCTCACAGTTAAATAGATGAGGGAACAGTCAAACATAAGAATTGAGAGCAGGAGTCGTTAACATGGTCCTTTAAACTCCTCTGCCATCCGATAAGATCATTGTTGAGTGGATTACTCCAGATGCTCACCAATCCCTGATTATTTTTCACCTCTTTACTTATGATCTTTCTTACTATCTACTTTTGCCTTGAATACATTCAATGATGCTGCTCCCACCACATTTTCAAGAAAATTTCCAAAGACTCATGACTCTTGTGAGAAAAGAAAATCTTGAATGGTGACCCTTTATTTTTAAACAGTAATCTTACATTTTAGACTCTCCCACAAAGAGGAAACATCTTTCACACATTCACACTGCTAAACCTCTCTGTTTTATATATTGCAATCAAGTCACCCTTATTTCTCTAAACCCTAGCAAATATAAACTTAGTCCATTCGCTCTTCCTCAAAAGGCAACCCACCCATCACGTTAGTCTGGTAAAGCTTCTCTGAACTGATTCCAAAGCACTACATCTTTCCTTCAATCAGGAGACCAATATCCTGCATGGTACTCTGGATATAGTCTTATTAGTGCTCCTTGTAACTGAAGCATGACCTGCCTACAATATTCAATTTCCCTCAAAATAAACAGTAACATGCTTAGCTTTCCTAATTAGTTGTTGTTCCTGCACGTTAACCTTTTATGACTCATGCACAAAGTCACCAGGATCTGCACCTCAGTGCTGCAAACTCTCACCATTCAGATAATACGTTTATTTTTGGTAATTCTTGCGAAAATGGAAAATGAAGTTACTGTAACCACACTATTTATCCTGCTAGTGCAATTCAGGTCTGTTCAATGGCCAAGCTGAGGAAGGTGATGACAGCAATGCCATTGAATACCAAGCACTGGAATTAAATGCTCTGGTTGGAGTCGTGTGGCATCAGTCTAACTACCACATATCAGCCAAGCCTAGATGTTGTCTAGGTTTTGCTGCATTCAGGCACAGATTGCATTGTTATCAGAGAAATTGTTAATCAATCAATCTGTGCAATCATTATTGAACATCCCCAGTTGTAACCTTATGATTTAGAGAAGGCCGTTACTGAAGTATTTTAAGATGGTCGGGCTCAGGAAATCATTGCCTTGGTGCCAATAATCACAACAATCACTTTTTGCGCTGCATATCACTCCAGCCAGTGGAGAGCGTTTCCCATATTCCTGTTCGACTTCAATTGTAGGTCCTCCTCGATGGACACTTGATCAAATGCTACATTTATGTCAAGGGCAGACACTTTTCCTCATATCTGGAATCCAGCTATTCTGTTCAGGTATGGACTGATTATATAATGAGTTCTGGATGCAAGCCTTCCTCATGGAACCCAAACTCAATAACAGTGAACAGGTTAGTTCTGGGTCTCCTTACCAAAGATGAAACTTTGGTCTGCTCAACACCCAAGAGAAATTTCCAAAGTTCTATCAGTTCTCCTACAGAGCACATCCACCCAGTAATTCGGTGTTGCTCCTAACCACCCAGCTCCAAGTGACCAGGATTGGCAGGATGCTCACACCTGGATCAAATGGATGGCATAAAATTGAATAGTGATTTAGACCGTCACCCATTCTGGCACATTACAGGCAGCAAAATGATATTGTCTACCCTACAAAGTCAATTGTCAATCTCTCCTCAGTTCACAAGCCAGGTCCTGTTAACTTCAGATCCATGCAGCGTGTGAGGGCTGGATGACGTTACCAGTATGGTGCCAGGCCCTAACAAAGAGTCTGACCAGGAAAGATATGACAGAAAAACTGACGTAAAATTGTCAAGACTTCCACCACATCTGTATCCAATATTTTTTTCTAGATACAGAAAACATCATCAGGATTTTACAGTTTACACAGCTTTGTTTTATTCTTAATATTGTGCATTTTTCACAATCTCAATACATCTCAAAACACTTCAAAATCAATTTTTTTTTAAATTGTACTCACTGTTTACTGTATAAAAATACTGTAGTAAATTTGTAAACAGGAACGTTCCACACACAATATTTAGATTAAAACAATAAGACAAACTGTTTCAATGAGATTAGTTGTGGGATAAATGTTGACTAAGATGTTGCAAAAACTCCCTCTACTTTTCTAAGCCTGGCCTAATGGTGACACATGTAGTCAGTACAAATGCCTAGTTGATTCTGGAGGGAAGCAGAATCTTTTTCCCTACTTTTCATCATATTTGCATCAGAGTCCCCTTTGAGTCATTGTGTGTAACAGCACTACTTTATCCTGCTCTTGTGATAGGACAGACTCATAGAACCAAAAATATTCTAACACAGAAGGATGGCATTTGGTACATTACATCTGTGCTAGGCAGTTTCTGGAAAAAAAGAAAAATCAATAATACCAGCAAGGAAGAGATCAGTGTTCAGCCAGCGACAGAACATTTTATGATGGTGAAGAAAAGCAACCGACAGATGTTGTCATTTCCAAGACACTGACAATTCTACCACATGCAATACATTGTGATCAACAGCTGTTGTTGGTTGAATTGTTTTCTAAATTGTAGTAACTCTAAATTGCTTTAAAAATGAAGAGGAAAATAAATATAACTCAGCATAACTGTAATTAAAGCATAACATAAGAAATAGGAGTAGGCCATCCTGACTGCAGTCCTGCTCTGCCATTCGATCATATCATGCCTGATCTTGTCCCTCAACTCCAGTTTCTCACTGTGTGTGCATCACTTGATTTTCTTTGTATCCAAAAAAATTATTGATCCCGGTCTTGAAAATACTCAATGAATTAACATTCACTTTGGGTGCAGAATGCCAAAGATTCCTAAACTTCTAAGAAGAAATTTCTTCTCATCTCAGTCCTAAATGGCCACTCTTTTAAATTGAGACCTTAACCCCTTATTGTGTACTCACTAAATGAAGAGGAAACTTGCTCCCAGCATTTACTCCTATCAAGCTCCTTAAGAATGTAACATTTTCATATATGTATCCCTCTCTATTTTCAACACTAAGAAATATAGGCCAAATCGAAACTCTCTCCTCAAAGCAACAATTCCCTCATCCTGGAAATTAGGAAAGATGATTAAAAGAGCACACAGTATGCTGGGTGTCTGCTTTCCTAATTGTGTCATGTAGTATCTGTATTAACTTTTTGTGATCCTGGTACAAAAAGATACCCAAGTTCTTCTCACTATTTAAAAATATTCTGGTTTATTGCTTTTCCTATAATAGAAGGTGATTTCATATTACTCTACATTATTTTGTACCTGGCACATTTGTACCCAGTCACCATGTTTTGACAGGCACTTTGCATCCTCCATATAGATTATTTTCCCACTAGACTGTGTAATGCCAGCAAAATTACATACAATACACTCAGTCCCCTCATCCAATTCATTTATGTTAAACTGTAAATTGGTGAGGCCCAAATAAAGGGCCTGACGTACTCCATTATTTGCAGCCTCCCCAAACATTCTTAGACTCCCACTCTATTTTCTGTCTATTAGTAATCATTATTTGCATGATAATACATTAAATTAAAGCCCTTAAACACTAATTTTCTGTAATAACCTCATATCTAATAATAAATTATTATTTATGATAATATTACCTAATATCATCTATTAGCGAATTCTACTAAAATGTCAAATATACTACATTCACTTATGGCACTCTATATACCCTCTGAGCTACAACTTCAAAAATGCTAACAGATTTATCAAATATATTCGTATATATATGTACTGACTTTACTAAATTATACAAAGATTTCCTAAGTGCCCTGTTTATCTTATCGGTAATATAGATTAAGCATCACTGATGTCAGGTTAATTGGCTTAATTGTGTAATAAAGCTTGAAAATGAAAGATCACAATCGTTTAAATTAGTGCATTAACAAAGGACTATTTAATAAACATTACAGCAGTGAATATGCAAGAGTGGTTGAAGAACTGAAGTGTGAAGCTGGCACTTACAACAATCTGCAAGCAGCAGGAGAGACATTTAAACAAGTCCCAAAAGATGTATATGGGCAACCTGACACCTATCGCTGGAAGACAGAATATGATTCATCATACAACGTAAACCCTGATGTAAGTTATAATTAATAGGCAAGTGAAACGTGATTCATTTGACTTGTTATATAATACCTAGGCATGCATTACTGACTCTGCTGAATACATTCTACAGGGCACTTGGAAGTAAAAGCACTGGTGACATGCTTCACAAAGTTCAACAGGCATGAAAAGGCATTTGGAAAAATGATTTCTGTCTATTGTTAATGTCTAATAAATACACAAAGTTCACACTTAACCCTATGCATTCTGATTTTTTTCATTAGATTTTATATTTGTATTTAAATAATGAAATTACCTATTACAAAACAATGCTGAAGCTATTAAAATAGAAGCTCCTCCCTTTTGTAATGAAATAAAACAAATGCCCACCGTAATAATTTTTTTTTAGAAAAGAGGAGCTGTAGGATATGATTTAAATGCTTTGATTGAGTGAACTTGAGGGTCTTCTGAATAAATTATGGCAAAAAAATACAAACATGATCTACAGTAGTTTTTGTTACCAGGTTAATTCAAACAACAATTAGACATAAATTTAATCTTTAACTACAAACTCCAACATTAAACATAACTTGAGTGATTTCAGTGCTCTTAACTCTAAATGTTTGCCTAAAATAGTATCCATTCACAATTTCAGTTTGTTATATTATCTGATTCAATATTTGATGGAAATGACTCACAGGTATATTGTTTTAGTAAGCTGAACATGAATTGTAAGAATATGGTGGTGTTTCAGGTATTCTAAACTTCCAGTTAACGATGACCTTAAGTGCTGTTTATGTATAGAACTGAAATTGTAAATTAATTGCTTCTTAAAATATCAGGAATATTTTCAACATAACACAAACATTAGTCTTGAATTTATGTAGAAAAAACAGGGTAGGGTGTTGAAATTACTCAACCCTGTCCTGCTCCGTGATTAGAAAAGTTGGATCATGGACTCCCTTGATTTTCCAACACCAATCCATTTAACTGAAAGAAAACAAATGCAAATTTTAGTCAGTCATTGTCCAATGTTTGCACAACAAAAAAATCAATGTTATTTCCTTACTATTAAAACAACTTGTAAATATTAGGCAAAAATCCTGAGTAGAACACAATGATGAATGTATTGCTTAAAAATATACATTCCATTTTTACAAAATCTTATCAAATAACTTCCTTCCTTACAGAATATCCTTTCTTACTATTCTTGGAAACTCACTTGGGACTGCCACGTGATTTTCAATGAATCTGATGTAGTTTTGAGCCTTAGGTGGCAGATCATCCCATGTCCGAGCATTGCTGATGCTCCTCTTCCAGCCTGGAAGTGTTTCATACTCAACCTCTACTTGATTCAGGATATCCTGGTTTGCTAGAGGAATGGATAAAGCATAACCATGAAGTAACAATAATACTCTAAACTATTATTCTATCCGAGCATGAGGCACAACAAATTTTACATTATAACTAAAATGACTCTGTAAAAGCTATTAAGCAGGAAGCCAAAATACATGAGGAAAGTAGCAGACACAATGTAACAAATTATTTCTTCAAACTGTAAAAGAGGAATAAAAGGACATAGCAGATGGTGATGCATTGTTGTAGTCAGGTGGTTTTAGATTTAAAAAAAATACAATCTGGAATCTGAAATGAAATCAGAAAATGCCAGAAATACTCAGTAGATCAGGTACTGTCTGTGGAGAAAAAAAACAAAATTAACACTTCAAGACATTTATCTTTCATGACAAAGGTTAGAGATGCATCAGGTTTTAAACAAACAGATGCAAAGGAAGGGGCAGAGGAGGAAAGAACAAATGGGATAGAGTAAAAGGCAGGAGTGATTAAATGGCAAAATGGATGTTACAAGGCAAAAAGGGTGGGTAATGGGACAAGAGAAAACAGATCGATCTAGAGGAGCTCTAAATGATGTCAATACCAGCAGCTGCTGTCTGGAAAGATGGAAGATGCAGTTACTATCTGAAATTGACAGACCGGTATTCAATCAAGACTATTATATAGTGTTCAATCCCTGATGTTCCTTTAGGTTCTGCTGTACTTCATTCATGTATGAGACTCAGAACTAAGAAGTCAGAGTGGAAAGGGACAAATAATTAATATGATAGATGCGGAAACCTCAAGATCACATGATGGAAGGGTATAGGTAAAACAGCAGGTGTTGCATTTCCTGTATTTGCATGGAGGTACCATATAAAATTGGTTAATGGGAGTTACGGTTGCTATTTAAAGTGTGGACCAGGGTGTCGCTAATGGGATAATCCATTCAAAATTCTGAAAGGGAATGAGAGAAGATTGCTTGGTGGTTTCAAAACTTTAAGGTATGGTAGTTACAGTGGAATGTGATTTGTCAAGTCACGAGGCTAACGGGATGGAAGGTGAAGACAAAGGAAAACCTGTCACAATCCTGGAAGGGAAAGGGTAAGGGCTGTGTGGGAAATGGGACAGAAACGGTCAAAAGCTCAGTCAGTGGGTGGATGGAAGTCTTTAGTTGAGAAAGTTAGACATGTCAGAAGCAACAGTATGGACAGTTGCATTGTCAGAACAGAGACAAGTGAGCTGGTGAAACTGGGGGAATGGTAAAGAGTCTATACAGGAAGTGGGCTGGCAATGAGTGTACTTTTGGGAGCTGGGACAAGATGGTATTAACGTGGCAATGAATGAGGACTAATACTTCCAGAGGCCCAGGCAATGATCTACTAACAGGGGTACACACATCTGTCACAAAAGCAGATGACATTTAATTAATAAATCTGGAATTGAAAGCTTTTCTCTATACTGGTGAGCATGAAACCATTACCAATTGTTGTAAAAAACAGATCAAGTTCAATAATATCCTTCAAGGAAGGAAATCTGCCATCTCTCCCCTGGTCTCGTCTATATGTGACTCCAGACTCACAGCAATGTGGGTGACTCCTAACTGCCCGCAGAAATCATCCTGCAAGCCATTCAGATCAAGGACATTTCAAGATGGGTATCAAATGCTGGAAATCTCATTAAAGAATAAATAAACAAAAAAAAAAATCAATGACGTAGATTTGGCCTTGCACTCATTCATATAACTGGACAAACTGCTAGTTCCTCGCTTGGTAGCTAGCTATTTGAAGGTAGAAAATATTAAGTTTCTTGCCTTGGAAGTAAATGAAGAAACAGTATTTCTTGGTGATAGGAAAGGAGTAATACAGAGTTACATTGGAACATATAACTTAGCAGTAGAAGTCGACCATTTTAGTCTTCAAGCCTTCTGGGGAAATGAATTACAAATTCTAATGGCCTTCAGAGAAGAAAAAAAAATCAGCTCCTCATCTTGATCTTAAAAGAGAGGCTTGTTCTTAAACTTAGTCTCTGGTTTAAACCTTTCCCAAAAGAGTCCCCTCAACCTGTGCAGACCCCTCGATCTGGTATGCTTCACTAAGATCATATCTCATTCTTCTAAGCTTCAAAGAATATAGACCTAATCTGTTTAAAATTTCTTTGTGAGGTAAACTCTTCATCTCAGGAATGAGTCAAGTATACTTTTTCTGAACTGCTTCTGAAGCATTTAAATTGCTTTTTCAAGTAAGGAGACCCAAACAGATACTTCTTAGTATCCCTACAGTGTTGAAACAGGCCCTTCGGCCTAACATGTCCATGCTGACCCTCAGAGCATCCCACCCAGAATCATCCCCCTATAACCCACCTAACCTACACATCTCTGAACACTATGGGCACTTTAGCATGGCCAATCCACCTAGCCTGCACATATTTGGACCGTGGGAGGAAACCAGAGCACCTGGAGGAAACCCACATAGACACGAGGAGAATGTGCAAACTCCACACAGACAGTTGCCCGAGGCTGGAATCGAACCCGGGCCCCTGGCACTGTGAGGCAGCAATGCTAACCACTGACCCAACTGCTCTGTGCAGCTGCAGTAAAACTCCCTACATTTATATTCCGTTCTCCCTGCAATAAATGCCAACATTCCATCTACCTTGCTAATCTCTTGCTATACCTGTAAATTAACTTTGTGATTCATGTACAATGACGTAGATATTTCTTCAATATTTTTACATTCTGAATTCTGTTAGGATAATAAACAACACCCACAACATGGGATTTTTGGCTGCATCCACAAGTCTGGAATGCCTCATGAAAAGGATGCAAAGAAAACATGCACAAAGTTCCTTCTACTGGGTGAATGTGTAGCTGTTATGTAATGTCAAGCATTGCATCTGAGTATTTGCCAAGTATGTTCAGTCTGAGTCAATCCAAAATTCCCCACAATTCCATCCAAGTCACAGGGTGTCAGGCTGGTTTCTTCAAGCATAAAAACGAAGCTCAAGTCACCAGACAGTAACCTGAGCAGAGTTGCACCTCTTACCAGAGCTTTCACTGACCAAATCATTGGCATTCAGAAACAGGTTCCACCCTTTGATGCACACAAGCTGATCAGTGAGGAATGCTCTTGGTGAATCATTCCCTTTCACTATTCCAGCCACTTGAACAGATCCTCCTGTTGTATGACCTCTCATCTCTTCAGATGTGAACTGCCATTTGCTGGTATGAGTCATGCCCACAGTTCACTCATATACAAATCAAAATCCTGGGACTCCAACTCTGACAGCATTGTGGGTGCAGCTCATCACCACTTTCTCAAGGGCAACTGAGATGGGCTATAAAACGGGCTATAAAACTGTCCCAAGGCTATATAAAAAAGAAGTTATCAGCTCAAAAACTAGCTTGTGTCTACCGGCAACATAATCAGTTGGTTGCCACGGACACTTTATTCATTTCATGTCCATTTTGGAGATGTTGAAAATCTCACCCATGAAATCATGAGGATATTCTAGGAACAGAGTACATTCTTCCACATAAAAGCACTGTCATATGGCTTAAACGATATACGTAGGAAATATTTAAAGGATTTTAAAATATATAGGTAGTTGAGCTTTATGAAGAAAATTTGAGTGACTTCAACCATATGGTCCAAATGCTGACTGCCTTGGAAATTTGTTTGTGACAATCCTAACAGTTTTGGTTTTATATTACAAGATGAACCATAATTTTGAAGGGGCTTGTGGTACTTCTTCTCTGAAACTCTACTTTAACATGTTGGGTTGAGATTTCAGTGTGTGAAGCTGTTCCCTTCCTCTTGCATTGAAACAAGCTAAATTGAAAACTAACAAAATGATGAGGCTACAACATTTGTTTGCATACAATACCTGGAAAATATGGAATTCGCTTTCCATTCAATTTGTAAGCTAAACCGATTTTAATCTCATCAAGGACCTCCAGGATATCCAGCTTCATTAGGGCCAACCTATGGGTACAACAATAATATTACTGTTAAAATTGAATGAGGGAGCCAATTTTATTAATCTCGCCTATTGGTTGACAACTTTTAGTATTTTGATACCAGGGTAGAAATGCACTTATTTACCACGGTGTCCTAAGTTTTGGTTCAGATATTCTATTCAGAGCACATTGAGGTGCTTTGGAATAAATACATCACATTTTCCAAGTTTTGCGGGCTTCTGTTGCATCTTTCTGTTGGCACATTTGAATCCAGGTATGTATATTGGGAGATGGCTTTGTTCAATAAAGTGTGTGTGTTTTTTGCATTTCAATTGACTAGACCAATTGAGGATCACTTAATGGGGAGAAGCATTTTTTTAAAATACATTACTAGAAGGGGATTTCGTAAAAAAACAATCAAAGCTACATCATTAGGAGTTTGAGAAAATTGGCACAATGGTTATCATAACAATGCTGTTTGTGTGACAGTAACTTAGCTTCAGTAGATCTTATGATTCACATCATTTTATTTTCTGTCAGGCATTACAAATGCCCAATAAATGTAAAGTACATTGAGGTTGTATTGAGCCAAATCAGACACTGGGGTGATTGTGTGATTAATGTAGATGTGCGGCAAGATGAAAATCTGAATCCATGTTACATCTGCCCTGATTTTTATTCTATTGAATGCTATTCAGTTTTCTCCTCATTCTCCAGGAACAGTGACTCATATGAGAATGAAACTTCACAGCTGAAACACAGCAAACGCTGAATAGTTATGTAGGCATGGCAGAAGAGAAGTAGTATCACATCAAAGATTCATCTTTAACTATGAAATGATTTGTCATGTTCTGATAATGTAAAAGGCACTACATAAATTGAAGTATTTTTTACTGTTAGCACATGCAATGGAATTTGGTACTCACGCAGTAAATCCATTGATCATATTAGCATATTTCAGTATGACTAGATCTAACCAGCCACAGCGTCTCTTCCTGCCTGTAGTTACACCCACTTCATTGCCTCGAGATTGTAGTAGCTCACCGATTTCCTGAAATATTTCAGTTAAAATTCAGCAATTGACGCACTAAGCAAGCTTAATCTTGGTTTGCAGGAGTGTGCAGGAGTACTCTGTAATTAGTTTAAAACCATATACATACAAATAGTAACTTAAAACAAATGCTCTACCATCCGAATATTACCACCATAACGTCTGCCTTTAAGATAACATCAATACAAATTCAGATAATTATGGTAATTATGGAAATTTATTAGGAGATTAGGGGGCAGCACAGTGGCTCAGTGGTTAGCATTGCTGCCTCACAGTGCCAGGGACCCGAGTTCGATTCTACCCTTGGGTGACTGTCTGTGTGGAGTTTGTATGTTCTTCCCGTGTCTGCATGGGTTCCTGCCAGGGGGTCTGGTTTTCTCCCACAGTCCAAAGATGTGCCAGTTAGCTGGATTAGCCATGCTAAATTGTCCCATAGTATCCAGGATATATGCAGGCTAGGGGAATTAGCCATGTGAAATGTGGGTGATGGGGATAGGGGAGCTCTTCAGAGGGTCAGTGCAGACTCAATGGGCCAAATGGCCTCTATCTGCACTGTAGGGATTCTATGATTTTATTATGGTTTTGAAGTAAGCCCCATTGACTGTTATAGGGTCTGAGCAATGTATGCAGGGGCGAGATGTGTGGCAAAATTGAATCAAAAACTGCGACAAGGCCTTTCTGAATGTCGGGAACAATTTGCGCCATTGTTTATGTTTCTCATGGCAAGACTCCCACTCGGCAGCGGAGAGTTGCAATGACAGCAATTATTGGTTCTTAAACAGTTTGTTAACACCCAACTTGCATCGTTAATATTCATCCTCCTATTTTACCAAAATCATCAAACAAGTTCAATGTCAGGAAAACTCGCTCTGGTGTCCTTGTCCAGCACCTGGAGGCTACAACTTGCTGCTTGCTCTCAAAGAACTCCATATTGGACAGAGTTCTGAGCTCACACCGGCCACAGCCACCTCAAAGAGCTCCATATTGGACAGAGTTTTCAGTTTACACTGGCCACGCCCACCTCACATCCACAGGTGCTGGCATCTGACACATGCCAGCCTCAATACAAACCTCATGGCACACCTCTGATCCAATGACACTACACTTCTGCACTACAAAGCCGCACCAACAAACCCCACATAATTCTGTGCTCAGGGACCCACACCCAGCTCATGGATGGGACCAGGCTGCATCTGTAGGCTCTCCTCCCGCTGGCTTAGTGCTCACTCACTTGGAGCCTACTAAGGCATTCCTGCCTTGCTGCGTTTTGCCCCGCAGTCAGATATACTTGGCTCATATTACTGTTGTATTATCATGTCATTTAGTGCAGACACAAAGGAAGGAAGTTGTTATTGTTGTCAGCAGGTCTCTGCCAGGACAAAGGGGATAGCCTTCACTCAGTGGGTTCTAGCACAATAACTCAACAGCAGCCTCCAACAGCACTTGTACTTCTTCTTATACAACAAACCTACCGTCTGAGGAATTAGTCTGGTGAACAAACTACCCAAAATACTCCAGGTGCTCCATTACCAAGGCCCTGTACATCTGCAGTAAGATTTTCATGCTCTTGCAAACGGCGAGTATATTATTATTTAAACAACCTGTCCAGACATGTAATGACACATCTGGGGCAGGTGGGGCTTGAACCCAGATCTTCCGGCCCAGAGGTAGGGACACTCCCACTGTGCCACAAGATCTTTCCAGCAAACCTAGTTTTAGAGGAGCAAATTATTGCAGATGCTGGAATCTGTACTGAAAACAAAAAATGCTGGAAAACACAGCAGGTTAGGCAGCTTCCATGGGGAGAGATAAAGCTAACGTTTTGAGTCTAGATGACTCTGAATCTATTATCATAAAAAACTCCAAACTTACATTTTTGAGTTCTGTTGGGAATGCCCCAATACCCACTCTAGTGGTATAGGCTTTGGCAACACCATAAACTGCTCCAATGTTCGATGGAGGAATGCCCAGGCCTGTGCATACACCTCCAGCAGTGCAGTTCGAGGATGTCACAAATGGATAAGTTCCTTTGAATATATAAAAAAATAGATTACAGTTTCTGGAGAATTCTCTTAGTTAGGCTTAAGAAACAACTAACATTTTCCAAGATGTTGATCCAACGGCTATGAAATAATAAATAGGCATAAATTACTTATTCATACTTGAAAAGTATCTTGTTCAAAACAATAATGCAGAATTGTATGTTTGACTTTTAATTATTAGCATTCTTGGTCAAGCTCAAGGTTCAAGCAATTAAAACTATACCATAGCTCCTGCTACTGATTGGAAGGGCATCAGGAATATGTGTACATGTGCACTTGGCTTGCCATATGGCTGCTGATGAATGCACAGACTGTCCTACCAAAAATGAAGAAACATATTGTGCACCGCACGCTAGTTTTACATGCAAAAAGGCCAGTTTAACTTCAACTTTAACCACCAAACAAAATGTTCATATATAATTAACCATATTTAAAGCAGTGATCAAGTTAGAAAGTGTCTGTGTAGAAAGCTCTTACAATGGTATGGCAACTCAACTGGTGGACAATGGCATCTTGAATCAGAGAATCGTAGTTTTGAGGCCTACATTTGGTGATGAATATCTTGAATATTCTTGAATATTTCTTGAATTTTGATGAATTTTCTTGAATATTTACTTTACCAATTTTTTAAAAATCAATGGTGCAACTCCACCAGTAAAATTACTAATTGGTAGCTGGAATTAAAGTATCCACTTGCCACTCTCGGCTATCTTGTATTCACTACTTGAATAACTGGATCCAACTAGCTGATGTTATTGTATAGGAGACAGTGGCTGAACAGCAGCTTGCAAAAAAGATACGTAATTGAGCAACTGAAAAACAGAACAGCTCCTAAAACATCTCTCACTTTAAACAATCACAGGCTCTGAGACTAACACTTTATCTGCACATGAGCAAGAAGTCCTCTGCTGAGTGTCAAGGTTAGGCACACATAAGCACATCCTAGAAGTATCATCACTGGAAAAGAAACACAGAGCAGATGGGATCTGGGGTGGGACTGAAGGACACAAGCTCAAAATTCACAAGCTTCAAGATCAGAGGACAACTCCATTCTCCCAGAGGAGAACGGATTTGTGGGAAACCTCCCAGAGAAAGTAGTTGACACAAGATCAGATGCTACCCTCAAAAAAGCCACATTCAAATTCTTGGAGAGACAGAATATTGTCAACAGTCATATTTAACACTGCTTGATTCCTACAGGATAGTTTGGAGAAATAGATTTATTCACCACGAGCTTGGGTTCAATTGATGATTTGATGATGGAATTATACATGAATTTTCAAAGTAATAAATCCTATTGGCTGATAGTGTTTTGTTTGACCTATGTTTTCCATAGAGACAGGGTTTGCTAAGATGTGCTAAATACTGCGCTAAGGAGATGCTAATTATATTGATTAATGAAGATTTCTATCTTCAAGCTTACAAGACATGGACACAGCTTAATGGACAACTGTCTTTGAATAGTTAGAAACTTAGAAGCTGTTTCAGCAGCAAATTGTTTTCTTCTTGTTCAGGATGCTCTCCAGTTGGGAAACCTCAAACTGTAATAAAAATTTTGAATTGTTTTGGGAAATAAAGACAACACATAAATATGGATTTTTTTCTTAAGTCCTCACTACACAGTTCTGTTTTCAGATCTACTGGTTTTAGCTACATGGTAATTCTGATCATCTTAATATGTACCTCATCTGTATTGTAAACAGCCTAATGGATGCTATGACCTGTTGAACATCAACAACCGTTAATCTTTTTTAAATATATACACTTAACATGAATATCTAGTTGATCAATTGTGTTATCACTTTCCATTTGATTAAGCCTGAATTTTTCCTGCTCCTGAAAGGAAACTGGTCTGGTCTTATTAACTTTCAATGAACCTCAAAGACTGAGGTGGATGTTCTCTGATACCAATCTGGGTGATATGGCAAAGCTGCAGTAGACATAGGTATTTCTTATTTCACTGAAATGGCCAAGTGAACAATCAACAAGTGTGATCACATGTGCTGAAAAAAGATATTTTGTGCCAAATATTGATCATAACGCATCAGTATCACATTTACACTGTAAATGATGGAAAGAAGAAAAGACATAGGAGCAGAAGCAAGCCATACAGCCCCTCAAACTTGCCCTGCCATTCCCTAAGATAATAATTGATCTGCTCCAGGCTTTAATTCCTCTTTTGTGCAAGCTGCTTGTAGCTCACAATTCCATATTTCAAACATCAATCTAAGTCCTTTCTAAATACTTTCAGTGATCTGGGCACCATACTTCTCTGAAGTACAGAATTTCAGACATTCACTATTCCAAGAAAAGAAATTCCGTTGCATCTCAGTTTTAAATGAATGTTCTCTTATTCTGTAACTCGGTCCGTTATTTCAAGAATTCCCCCATTCGTGGAAACATCTTTGCAACATCGACTCTGTCAAGCCCCCTCAGAATGTTGTATGTTTCAATAAGATAACATTTCATCCTGCTAAACTCTAATGAATAAAGGCCTACTCTGTTTAGCTGTTCTTGATAAACCTGGAAGTAAATGTTTGCTAAATATGAACATACTTCAAAATAGAGCAGCGAAATCCCTGCTGCTAGTAACATTTTTTTTGGAGTGCATTAATACGTTTCTCAGTTCCGGTTTGAATGTGATATGCATTCACTTATTTAGTTGGCAAAATGCACAGTTTCAAAAACGTACCAAAATCGATGTCGAGTAATGCTGCATTGGCACCTTCCACAAGAATTTTTTTTGCTGGACCACGAAGAGCCTCATGCATAAAATAAACACCATCTCGCACCATTGGCCTTATACGCTCAGCATATTCCTGACAATGAGAGTTAGAACCTTACAGTATACTTTTGGTAAAGAAGACAGATAAATTTGAAAGTTATCAGATATTATATTTATGAGCAAGCTTAAGATAACAGCAAGCTCACTGCAGCACCAGAAATTCTCCCATTCATTTCTATGTTACAGAATTACCATTAACTGCAATTTGTTTCTCTTCAAAAGAAAATTTATAGTTCAGAATCTGTTAAGTGAAACCATATCAGATTCTGTATTGCAAAGTCCTAAAACATTCAATGCAGTAACTTTGGATTCAAACAGCAATATTTTAGGATGAATGTGTCTGAAGGCTAATGAAATGGCTACTCCATCATTGACCTATACTGTAAAACTGTAGGCTGCCGACAATACAAATTTGATTAAATGAACCATGATATTTGAAGTAGCCAAAAGACATACTATTAACTTGTAGGATCTTCCTCATTCTTCTTCTTATTTAGCTCCTCCATAAACGGCAAGAATAGAGTCTAGCTTGATGGGTTGAGGAAATTAAAGTGTGGTGCCCAGCCCAAATTTATTGCAAAAATAATCATAAGATCAAAAATGCCCAGTTTTATTTTACATAACTTGGACAACTTTAGGAGATGGCTTCACAGTTAAACATGAATATCCAGAAGTTGCTGTCTGAGATGTGCTCTTCCTCCAGACAGCTTGTGGAAACGGTATCTCCCTGTTTGGCTCTGCATTTAAATGGTGTGAAGTTCCTGCATGCACATTGATGATCAAACTTATCACAGAAAGTTAGGACTTTTCCATTCAGGGAGGTGATGGCCTAGTGGTAATATTAATCCAAAGAGCCAGGCAATGTTCTGGGGACTCGAGTTTGAATCCTACCGTGGCAGATGGTGGAATTTGAATTCAATAACCTGGAATCTCATGATGGCCATTGTTGAGTGGTGGGAAGAACTCATCTGGTTCACTAATATCCTTTAGGGAAGGAAACTGCTGTCCTTACCTCTTCGGGCCAACATATGACTCCAGACCCACAGCAACGTGGTTGACTCTAAGTACCCTCTGGGTGATTAGGCATACTAGCCAGTGATACCAGCGTGAAACTGGAAAATTAACATTTATAAATGTGACTGTAACTTTTGCTGAAGGTTTTTAAAAACTTAAGTTACATGTTTTCTTTTCTCATTTTTCTCTTTGTGTTTGAGAGTTTTTCTCCTTAGTTTGCTTTTTATACCTGACTGACTGAGGTAGTTGGATAGTTGGGATGAGTCATTAGGTATTGCCAGAGTAGGTATATTGATTTCATTCCTACCTCATTACCCTTCCCATTGTGGGGAAATATTTGAAAATGTGTGTAAAGGCAAATGAGATAGTGACTGAACTTGAGAAAAGGAGCTGGAGACCACTTATGTTGACACCAAGAACTAGATATTCACAGGGTAAAAGAAAAGATTGAATTGGTTCCATGAAACTATTGCATTTATTGGACCAATAATCTGAGGTTTTGATTCACCAATTCAAATGTCACCATGGCAGGTTGAAAATTTGAATTCAGTGTCTGCAAAGAAAAATAAAATGTTGCCCTCAATAAAATTGATAATGACATTGTTAAATTGTCATCAGAAATCCAACTGGTAAACAAATTTGTTCATTCAGTGTAATAGTGGATATTTCTCCCTGGCCTGGCTTATACATAACTTCACTCCTAAAACAAAGTGGTTGGTCTTGAATGGCTTCTCGAGTGTCCTGGCAAACTCCTTATTTGCATCACCTATCCAAAGATCTGAATGCAGTGATTCAAAAGAAGGTCTGCTATCTCAGGTCAACTATGGATAATCAGCAACAACCACTGGCTAAGATTGAATTTCAAAAAGATATTTCCTCTGAATAGGTCATTGGTGAATTATACAAGGATTCCAGAGAACGTCCATAGATAGCTATTGATAGACATTGATTATTGACAAATAACTATCCAGACCTTTGGTGATCATGGTCCATTGAGCTGTGGCCACAACAAATTGCAATAAAATACAACATCTGTCAATCATCAGTGCAGAGTACCTGAACATTTACCAAGTACGAGCAGATCAAAAGTACATATGTTTTTGCATTCATAGCAGATTAAATTGGTTGTTTTATTTTTAAGGTCATAAACATGGTAGAGAGAGGAGTGTCAGGATTACTATGTATTTTGCGCACTTCCACAGCCCACATGATTATGCTGGGTGGAAAATTTGAATTTCTGCGTATTCAGCTGGATACCAACATTAATATTAAAGAGTTAAACACTGGACTTTACCCATCAGAATTTTCTGATATGGGATTTGAACCTTGCACCTTTAGGGAATGCTACCAGAATCTCCTCTTCACTAAAGTAAACATCTCAGCTTTTAGTTAAAAATATTTATTCTACATAGTGCATTAATTTTCCAGTTCTCTACGGCACCTTCATGATGTTCAATTTAACTTATGAAAAAGCAAAATAAATCAGCTATTCATAGGTTTTTGGCTTTTCTTCTTTAAATCATTCACTAACAGTTATTCAAAGGCAGCCAGGAGCCAGGTTTCAGTGTTGTTCCTCCACTACAAAATGGGATTCTGAACTCAGTCTGACGAGATCTAAGAGTAGCCTCCAATTTAGCACTTCGATGTGGACAAGTATACTACATCCATACTTGATTGCATTGAGGACTTGGAATTAGACTGTTTAATTTGTAGATATCCTCAAACTTTACATTACCCTCTCAGTGCTAGTTTCCTTTTTTTAATATATTCCTTCCAGGATTCCATAAAATGCCTTTGAAATTGATAAAAAGTATGATGGTCAAATATTTAGGTATTATTTGAAAATTGTTTGGAATTGTAGGTAAATTAATATCATGGGTGAATGTTTTACTGTGTGAAGTACATTTACCATGCAATGACATAATGATAATAAATTCTTGCATGCAATTTTGAGTAACAAAAGAAAAATCTGCTGATGCTCTTTCATCATTTTACCTTTAATTTTTTAAGTTGTCCTTCAATGTCTATTTTCAGGTTAGGAAACATGGACTGATATTGTTGAGCCAGAAGTTTAAACCTGTTAAGGATTCAAGAATCGTACAAAAAGTATTAGCTTTACTTTCTATTGTTTGGGATTTGTTGTAACCGAAGAAGAATCATTTAAGTTCACAGCACAGAAGGTGACCATTGGCCCTTTCTGGTTTTGTTGTCTTTTTGGCACAGCAATGTAAACTTAATTCCACTGTCCTGTCCTCTTCCTATACCACTGTATCATCTTCTACTCCAAATATTTATCACTTTTCCTTTCAAGGAGACAATGACCTCTGTCTCACCAATCTCCCTGTGGTAAACCATTCTGTGCTCCAACAACTCCAGGTAAAGAAATGTCTTCTAACCTCTCTCTTAAATTGGTTAAGTGATAATTTTAAGTTGACAATTCTCATCACTAACTGTTCAACCAGGACAAAATAATCTTAAAATTAGATGTTGGCCAAAAATATCACGTGTTAAACAAGGTCTGAAAGACCTAAGGAAGGCAGGTCAGTATCATGGTCTTTCTCATTTTACTGTGAAAAAAATCTTAAGTTTTGGAAACTTGCATTACACGTGGGTAAAAAACGTTACTTCAGAAATCGGTGTAGTGATCAAACTCCAGCTGCACAATCATTGAGTGTTAGCAGAGATAGTGAGAACTGCTGATGCTGGAGTCAGAGGTAACACAGTGTGGAGCTGGAGGAACACAGCAGGCCAGGCAGCAGAGGAATAGGAAAGTTGACGTTTCGGGTCAGGGCCCTTCTTCAGAAATCATTTCTGAAGAAGGGTCCCGACCCAAAAGCTAAGCAAGTCCCAGCACTTACACATTTTGAACATTATCACTCATGGAAAGTTGATATATTGATTGGTCCTTCAAATATTTGGTGATATGCAGTCAATACAATTGTGATTAATTTATGTTTGCTGCTATATCATCGTGAACCAAATCATGTCTATACTTGAAAAGAATGCACTTCACATGTGTTAAATATTATGAGACAACTAAAAACACAACTGAATTGAGCAGGCTTGAAAATATTCCGAGAATCTGGAGCTGTAAAATATTCTATCCTGTATGCACTTAATTTTCCAATTTAAAATACTTACGTCCTCCTTTCCACATATCCACTTGACAATAAAGGGCATGGCAGGAAACTTGGTTCAGAGCCTTACGTGTGTAAGGAAATCCTCAAGTGTGACTTAAATTCAGTCCAGAGCTACTTAGTATTATCATCAACAAATTACACTCTACAAGCGAACTTCAGTAATTTGCTGAGCTATAATCTAAGTCATCCCATTAATGCAAGTGTCTACAACAGTCCCTATATTATTACCTGGAGCTGAAATCGCTGAAGTCAGCCAAAAGGTCACAGATTCGCAGACCAGTTCGTGCTGCTTTGGAGGAGTATGTTGGTCCTATCCCTTTCTTTGTGGTGCCAATACTAGAAAAACAACATACGTTTCTTTAATATAATGTAAAAGAAAGAAGCCCCATCTTTCAAATAAAAGTACTTTTTAAAAGTATCGTGGCAAAGGAAAGTTGTGAAAAGAAAACTATTAAAGATAAACGTAGATTTGTTCTTTACTAAGCGATATCAATTGGATTGCTCATAGTGGAAGCTATTTTGTAATGTCATGCAGTTCTCATGCTGCCAAAACTTCTCCAATGGCACTGCATTAACATTGTGTGCATACATTTAACTTAGGGATAATATTTTCAGGGTACAGATCTTTCCTGAAGTCAAGAGAGGCGCTCAGGCCAGTATTGTGAAAACATTTTGCTGCTTTTTAGTCTATCTACACAAATGGGTTAAATCTGATGTAAAATCACAGATGTCATCTTATACTTATTTATACTTCTAATGGCAAGTCTTGGGTTGGAAATACCCAGTGGTATAAAACATATAGGAAGACCCCCTCTCAATCCAGCACTGTTGTCATTACAATCAATTAAAATCTGATTGTGCTATTTCGGTCAAAAACAACTGTATAAATGGCAATAAATGGAATAATATCCATTAATTGGAGTATAAACCAGACTCTCAGCATCATACTTTTTTAAGCTAACTTCTAATGTGCTGCTGCATCATATATTTAACACTGACGGTCATATTTACTTTTTTCCCTCCTGCTCTTGTCGCTGAATTTCTTGAAGACCATCAACAGCTTGATGAAAATCAAACACTGTTAAATACAACAAATAAAAACATCAAGCTCAAAATGTATGCCAAATTGCATTTGTTATTTTCCTCAATTTCAGTGTTAGAAAAAAATTACCAAACTAAAAGCCCACTAATTGTTAAGAAATTCAAAGCGTGATTCTTTCAACAAACCAAATTTTAAGAACAGCTTTACCATCACTTACATACCCAAGTGTGCTCTGTCTGAAATGATCAGCCTCTTCTCCCATTCTTTTAATCCTGATAAAAATACAAAATAGTGCAGAAGATCAAAATATAGAATTCTTACAGACTATCCATGAGACAAGGTACGCAAATTCCTCAAAGCAGCTTCCATTTGACTAAAATAAAGCTGGCTGAGTGAGATCAGCTCCAAGGACTTTCATGGTCATAACTGCGATGGAGATAAAATTAGACTACAATGGGAACACAGTCCTGGTTATAATATTGTTGAGATGGACAGGAAGAAAAAGGGATGAAGTTAAAGCGTATCCTTATTAGAAAGAGTGGAGACGCCTAGGCTACAGCATTAAGACAGAATCAAATGGATAATTCAAGAAATTGGCAGACAAGTTATACAATTTCTGACATTGACCTACGATTGAAACTTATTATAGGCTGCCACTTTGAGAAGCTCTGTGAGCTTAAACATTCTGGAGATAATTTACTAAAACTTCTGACTGCTTCACTCGAAAATCTTTATCAAGAATTAACTTCCTTAAATATATACTTCCTTAATATTCCCAGGTATAAGATGGCAAAACAAAACAGAGAGGAATGGTGGAATTTATCAAAGAAGAAATTATGGTACCGATGTAGTTATAGGAGGTCAAAGACAGATCCAGTTTGGTTAGGATTAAGGAACAATATTCTAGAGTACCTGGATTAACATCAGAAGCATCCATGTAATAATGATGTCAGAGACAGACATTTAAACAGCAACAGCTGGGAAGGAGTAGAAGCTCTCACATTGTGAGAGGATAACATACGTTTCAAGCTGTAAATAAAGAACGCATACAGAAAGTAATATGGGGTGGAATTTCACCCTCCTGATGTGATGTGAACAATGGCAAGAAAAGTGGGAAAATGCAGTGAGCACGAAAAAAAAAATCAGATTCTTGTGTTGAGAAATCTTTTCCAATATTCTTCTCAAGATACAGATGGCAACTTCAGATTCTTGCTGGTCAACAGTGACTATTGCCTCGCATTTGCATTTAATTATTTAAGCTCTAACTTGCCTTAATTATATGTCACTTCCAATTCTCCTCGGTCACTGAGAAATAAGGTGCATATTCCTAACATGTAAACCAGCACTGGTACAGCTCGCTAAGATTTTCCTGGCTATCGTACAGCTGCTTCTTCACACCAATGTCCCTGCATGCTTCATTGCTATCAGCTTCCTTATCCCTTTGTCCAAGCAAGTTGGCATCAGTAAACCACGAAGCCTCACCACTATATCACGCATGCTTTCGGACCAAGTCACACACTACTTTAGCCCTTCTAATCTCTACTTTGGAACTGAGGGACACTGCAAGGGTTGAATCAGTTTCAGTCACTTAGGGATCAAATTTTAATAACAACCACAAATGGACCACAGATCTATAAAGGCAGGCTAGGACCAAGGTCCCCTCTATGCTGCGTGGCTGCACGAGCACCTGCTCAGCATTAACTTCTGGTTCCAGAAGTTGGAGGTACACACAGAAAACATGGCGATGGTGGCTAGGAGTGCAGCAGCTTGTAGTGTTGGGCTTAAAAATGATATCTTCAAACCAGACCATTAAGGCTAATGGTTAAGGGTTAATTGGATGTGAAAATTAGCAATTGAAGCAAAGTGAAAAAATAAATGAAAATAGGGCTGGTGTTAAAATAAACAAAAACAGCCTGTTTAACTGAGCAGTAACTGTATAACCTTGATCTTTTATGCAGTTAACACGGAGCCAACAGCAGATGTTTTCAACTTTCTTTTTTGATCAACGGAATGTCCAGAAGAGTATTGAAAATACCATGAAATGACGATACAGCATGTAATCAGTGCAGAGCTATAGTATTATTCCCATTGTATTGGCCCACTTGTTGGACTTTCCCCATTGGACCGGGTCTGTGAGACTGGGCCATGGAACCTGAGATGGAGCTTGAAATGCTAGCTGTCCAAAAACTCTAGTGTGAAGACAATGTATTGCAAAGCATTAGTTTGCCGTTGTATAAAGTAGTTTATGCTAATAGATTTGCTCATTTATTTGTATATAAAGTAGTTTAATCTAATAGATTAGTTTGTATATATATTAAGTAGATTAATCTAATAAATTAGCTATATAGTGCAGTGCATATATCTTCTTGTAATCATTTTGATCTGATCTTAAAGAACACGAGTACTTTCAGGCTAATAATTCAGAGCTGCACTATCAGCCAGATACAAAGTGAAATACAAGTTAAGAGTCAACTGCATTTCTATAGACACATGTCGGCAATTTTCCTTCCATGCAGTTGGAACGCTTGAGTTGCTGTCTCCTGATGGTTTTGGGCCTGTAGGGCCTAGGCCTCCTAACAGGCCCCTGTCCAGATGCAGGCTCACCCTCCTCAGCTTAAACTGCTGAAGGCTGTAATCACAGACAGCGAGGAGGTTGAGGAACCAGACACTTCTGGATCTCATTTGACAACACACTAATGGAAAATGGGAAAATTTCACCATGGTGCAGGGGGTAACATAATGATATGGATAGAAGATCGGCTGACTAACAGGAACAAGTAGAATAGACATGAATGGGTCATTTTCTGGTTGCAAGACGTAACAAGAGATGTGCCACAGAAACCAGTGCTGGGGCTCAACTTTTTACGACTTATCCAAATAACTTGGATGCAGGGACTGAAATTATGGATGCTAAATCTGCTTATGACATAGGTTGGAGGCTATCCTTCAGTTACGGAGGGCTTTAGTGAGATGGCATTTGGAGTGCCATGTACAGTATTGATCACTTTATTTAAGGATGAATGTAAATGCATGGGAAGCAGTTCAGGGGAGATTTGTTCCACCTAAACTTGAATTGACCAGGTTGTGTTAAGAGGAGAGGTTGGCAGGCTAGGCTTGTAACTGCTGGAGTTGAGAACAGTAAGAGGTGCCTTGGCTGAAATACAAGATCCTGAGGTGTCTTGGGAAGATGCTTGTAGAAAGAACATTTCCTCTATTGGGAAAATCTAGTACTAGGGGTCACTGATTAAAAATAAAGAGCCAACCATTTAAAACAGAAATAAAGCTCGAAGGGCTGAGTGGTCTCCTTCAGATTCATATATTTGTATGCATGGTGGTATAGACCATAGAGAAAAAGCTACAAATTAACACAATTATTTCAAACATATCTGAAACATTATTCAAGTGTGCTCTAATTTTGATGTAACAGTTCATGTAAAGGTCACAAAATATGCAGAGCTGAACAAGTGTACCTTTTTTTTCATTCTTGTCAGCTTCTTCAAACAAACCAGGTAAATGTATTACAACACCATTCCCTAAAGTAGAAAAAACATAGTGCATTAGGATATGGTAATTAATAATAGTTTTAAAATCCTTCAAAAAAGGAATCAGGAATTTACTCCAAGTTCAGATCAATATGAATGCCCTAAAATATCCGTGCATTCAAAGGTGACATCCCTTACTGCATAATGAACTCCCAACCGTGACATATTTTCAATCAACTCATTATCACACCTTTAGAGTGGGTGAGACTTGAACCTTGGCCTTCTGGTTGAGAGGCAAGGTCACTATCATTGCATCACAAGAGCCCTTTAAAGAAAAGACAGTGTTTAAATTCCACTTAGACATGTATATTGGTTAACTCCGTGAATTCAGTTAGTTATTTTTTTAATCAACATACTCAGCCATATTATGAAATACATCTGGGGTAGCTGAAACTTCGACGTTAACCTTCCAACTGAATGTATGGGCACCACTACTGCACCACAAGAGCTCCTTCTAAGCATTCGACTCTTGTAAAATTTACTCGCTTTAGATCTCAAGAGATAACAAGATTCTCGCATTCTCCCACTCTTGTGCAATATTCCACAGTTTTATGGTTTCCTTCCTGTTTGATTGATTGCTGCAAAGAAATGAGCAATTCACCTCACTGATTTGTTGTAATACTGTGTGGTATTAATATTCTTGCAGGCTCCCAAAAGCTTTGAAAATAGTGGCACACAGATTTTACTGCAACCAGTTATCTTCGTTATTGTCTTTCAAGCACTTCTGTCCAGTTATTTCTAGTGAAGTAGCTCTCTTTAATGGACAACAAGTGATTCTTCACCACAAAACTCAATGCTGAGTTGGTGCAGTGGGTGTGTGCCTACCTTTGGGTTCAGAAGTTCTGGTCCACAGTCCCACCTGCCCTGATAATGTGTCAGAACATCTGATCAGTTTGAATAAAAATCCCACGGTTCAGGTACACAAGTGATTTTCGTTTACTTATTCCTCCAATCCCAGTGATCTCTTATCACTAGTATTTCATGATCTTTGCTTAAGTGTGGAACCACAGATGACAGATCCCCTTTAGACTTCTCATGGTCATTCTCCTCCATGACAATATAATGTTTATTCCCATTTCATTACTAAATGGATATCATAACTGAGCCTGACCACGTTTTCTCGAAGTGTTTTTCGAATTTTACCAGAAACCACTGAATAACCTCAAGAACAGGAATGTTAGCTGATTTTTCTACCCCAATGCAAGGATGCTGAAGCGAATTATAACATTCAATCACCAGAGCTGAAAGTACCTAATGGCATGGAAAATGGAAAAAGCCTTATATATTTTCAACGTGAATGGTAATAACACATTTACCGATCATTTCTTTTCTCAAAACTTGGCTGTTTCTTCAAATTAATTGACTTACCAATAAAGGAAATAGCTTTTGGGTTAATAATGCCACTTGGAAAAAGGTGAAAATCATATTCCTTTCCATCTGCAACGACCGTATGGCCAGCATTGTTTCCACCCTAAAAGATATTTGGAATTGCAAATTAATGCATGGAGCAAAACACTCAAGAGTAATTTGTGCTACTCAGAAAATATTAATACATTTGTAATCCTAAGAAATAGTACATATATTGGTAATATGAATTAAAAAAAACAATTACTTTATTCCAAAAGCTGCCATTTTTAAAGTGGTTCGATAATGAGGAAGATGTTGCAATAAAATACTGGGAAACAGCTTTGTGTCTACGGTTGCTTGCAAGATGACTTCCGATCTCAAATGCTACACCATGAGTAGATGTTCAGTAGGGACCAGGTACTTCCCAAGTGTGGGCAAGATGGAAAATCAAGAGATATGGAGAGACAGTGAAGAATGTCCATGAATACAAAACAGTGAACATACAAACATAGGGACAACAGGAAGAATCTAGAGACCTTATCTATATGATCTTTTCCCTGTAATATACTCCTGGAATTTCGGAATTATTCTGGTATTCGTACATGACATTCCCTCTAAAGCCATATATCCTATCAAAGGTATGGTACCCAGAATAGCTTAAAACTCATTTTAGTATCATTACAGGCAAGTGTTAAGGAGATTGACAAGTCCTTAATACTCTCAGGTAACTTCTTGGTGAGAAAAATCTGGAATTTTCCGACAGGTTTTTGATCTTGGATGCAACCTCAATTATATGCAAACAACTGGATTAATTAATTAACCCCTTTTTGCACAAGCATAAAGGAAGAAATCAGAATATGTTATGCATGAACAACTCTTTATTAACTTAAATAATCATACTATTAAATATTCAGTACTTAGTAGTTCATAGATACGAATCAATATAGTCAGGATTAACCAGTGGTTTGAATAGAAAATCATTAAGTGCCAAATGTACAAAAATAAAATTAATAACAGAGGAAGCTCTTTTAACTTGCACCAAAGGGTCCTCTAAAATTCATTTGCCACATAAGTACCACGCAATGACCATCTCCAACAAGAGAGAATCTAGCCAGTGCCCTTTGATGTTCAAGGATGTTACTGTTAATGAATCAGAGAAACACAGAATATAGGAGCAGGAGTAGGCCATTTGACGCTTTGAGTCAAATACGATCATTGCTGATCATCCAACTCAGTTCCCTGTTCCATCTTTCTCCCCATATCCTTTGATCCCTTAAGTTCTAAAAACTATTTCTATATCTTTCTTGTAAGTCTTGAAACCTTTTGAGGTCAAAATATTGATGTGGCAGAGAATTCCACAGGACACCACTCCCTGGCTGAATAAATTTCTCATTTCTGTCCTAAAAGGCCTATTCCTTATCCTTAGATTGTGGCCCTGGTCCAGGACTCTGGGACTTAAAATCTAATAACTGCTTGTAGTCCCAGTCCTGGTCTCTAATGCTGATGACAGTATTGCATCTACAGAATTTTCAGCTCTCCAAGGCCTGACTTCCATCTGAGATAGAGCAGGATTTCCCCATCTCCGGCTAATTAATATTCCTTGAAGCGGTAAATGGCTGTGGAGTTGTCATTATAGTTCGGGATGTATTCCTGTTAATTATTTAGATGGCAAGGCAGGAAATATTGCCATCTAAACAAAATCTTCCCCAGTGTATCACTGTAATTCAATGTTAGTAGTCAGAGTGTGTGATTATTACAATTTGTGAAGTTATTTCATGGTCTAATCCTTACAGTCATTTGGTAGCACAGAACTTGAGTACTGTAGGTTAAAGACATACTTTCAATGCTTTTCAAAAAATACAGGCGACAGGTATTCACTGGTTCATTTCTCAGATCAATGCCCTGACCAGAATCAACCTGCCTGGTTTAAAATTTAAACAAAGCCTGGCAGTTAATTGTCAATCAAAATTATTGGGTCCATTTTCCATTGCAATATCCCTGCCATACACAGTCCACTTACTAAACAAATCTCTTGTCGTGCAGTACAAATTTTGGTTTTCTCCTTGAATGCGTATTCTTGTGAAACGTCCTGATGAGTGCAAGATGAAAAACTTTGACTGCTTTGGGTGGCACAGTGGCTAGCACTGCCGCCTCACAGCACCAGGGGCTTGTTCAATTCTAACCTCAGGTGACCGTCTCTATGGAGTTTGCACATTCTCCCCATGTCAGTATGGGTTTCCACAAAGTGCTCTGGTTTTTTCTCAAAGTCCGAAGATGTGCAGGTTAGGTGGATTGGCCATGGTAATTGAGGGGTTGCAGGGATGGGGGTTCTGGTGGATCTGGGTGGGATGCTCCTTAGAGGGTCAGTGCAGACTCAATGGTCCAAATGGCCTCTAACTGCACTGAAGGGATTCTATGATATGACAAAACTTCACCTTTTGAAAGCAGTTCCCAAGTTTAACTGTTAGATAGCTGGCAAGTTATCAGCAATATATACTGTCAGTCTGTGACAAATCTACATCTCAAACAGCTATGTCAATTAAGAGTAAAATTGGATGGGGTGTAAAACAAACACTGAACCAGTACTTTCCCTATTTTCATTGAATGGATTTGTTCTTAGAGGTCTTATGTTTTAATTAGCTTTAATCAGCTAAGAACTTTGCTTACTTACCATTTTGCAGCACTTCGTTCAATAGCTGAACTCCATACTAAATGGGCAGCTTTACAGCTGGAAGTTCTTAGGTCACACAAAGAACATTTTCCCTTAGGTATTTTGAAAGAATTTGCTGGTGACTACAAAGCACTTTTGAAAATTTGGGATAGTGTAAATTTATTACAATATCTTCAAGCACAGTTTTGAAAATATTGAAAAGAAAGCCATTTGCCATGGTAACTGTAGTCAACTTAGAATAATTCCAATCAAGCTTCCATTCAAGATTTTAATGGAATTAAAATGAGATTACTTGCATGATCCCAAATATCAAACATGCATTTACAGATACAAAGAATGTGGAATTAAAAATTAAAAATAAATTATTATAAGTTACTGGCAGGGTTGGTATCACAGTGTTTGTGTTTTCCTTGGAACTTACCCGAGTACAAACAAAGTCATCCACAGTAGTTTTCATTTCCCAAGTCATGGTATTTAAACCTCAATTCGGAAGGCCACCCAAAACAAATAGCCAAACCACTGGGTGGAGCAGGGATTGCTAAATGGTCACGAAGTAACATTAAAAATTTAGAATTTTTACCAGGAGAAGTTGTGCTTCTCTGAATTCTTCAAGGAATCCTTAGCTTTCCTGACGTGCGCTGACATTAATCCTGCCAGTTTTAAACAGCAGACTGTCTGACTTTATTCAAATAATGCCTGGGCAAGGCAAGTTTAAAATTGTCTGGGCTTTAGTGGAGTTCTTTATATAGGTATCACTGCGGTCGGTAGCGTTGTTGCCTCTGAGTCACAAGGTTCTGGATCCAAGATCCAGTCTGTGGTTAAGCATAAGGCTGACATTCCAATGCAATACTGAGGAAGTTACAGAGGAAATTATGGGCCAGTGAGCCTTACATCAGTGGTAGGATTATTGGAGAAGATTCTTAGGGACAGGATCTCCTCCCATTTGGAAAACATTGGATTTAATAGGGATGGTCAGCATAGCTTTGTGAGAGAGAAGCCTTGTCTCGCAAATTTGATTAAATTTTTTGAGAATGTGACAAAAATGATTGATGAGGGTAAGGCAGTGGATGTTGTCCACATGGACTTTACCAAAGCATTTGATAAGTTCCTTCCCGATAGGCTGACCCAGATGAATAAGGCACAAAGGATCCACAGTAAGTTCGTAAGTTGAATACAAAATTGACTTGGTCAGAGAAGCAGAGAAGGGGTCTTTCTCTGACTGGAAGTCCATGAGACCAGTGTCGTTTCACAGGATTAGTACTGGGACCTCATGTTTGTAATTTATATAAATGATTTGAATGAAAATGTAGGTGGTCTAATTAGTAAGTGTGCAGATAACAGGGAAATTGGTGGAGATGTGGGTAGTGAGGAAGGTTATCAAAGGATACAGCAGAATATAGATCAGTTGGAAAGGTGGTTGAAGAAATGGCAGATGGAGTTTAATCTAGACAAGTACGAGGTGATGCATTTTGGGAGGTCAAATGCAAGAGGAAAATATATATTAAATTGCAGCATCTTTAGGAGCACTGATGTACAGAGAGATCTTGGGGTGCAATCCATAGCTCCCTGAAGGTGGCAACATAAGTAAATCGGATGGCAAAGGAGGCATACAGAATTCTTGCCTTCAGCGTTTGGGGCATTGAGTATAAAAGTTGGCAAGTCATATTGCAGCTGTATAAGACCTTAGTTAGGCCACATTTGGAGTATTGTCTGCAGTTCTGGTCGCCTCATTATAGGAAGGATATGGAGGCTTTGGAGAGGGTGCAAGAGAGGTTTACCAGAATGTTGCTTGGATTGGAGTGTATTTAATATAAGGAGAAGTTGAACAAACTTGGATTGTTTTCACTAGAGCTTCAAAAGCTGAGTGCGACCTGATAGAAGTATGAAAATTATAAGGGGGGTGGATAGGATGGATAGTTGGAGTCTTTCTCCCAGGATGAAATTTCAAATACTAGGGGGCATAGGTTTAAAGTCAGAGGGGAAAATGTTTAAAGGAGATGTGCAAGGCAAGCTTTTTTTAAACAGAGGTGCCAGAATGCATTGCCAAGGGAGGTGACAGAAGCAGCTATGACAGCAATGTTTTAGGAGGCATTTAGACAGACACATGAACAAGCAGAGAATAGAGAGATACAGATCATTTGCAGGCAGATGGGATTAGTTTAGAACAGCATTGTGGTTGGCACACATGGTGGACCAAAGGGTCTGCCTTGTGCTGTACTGTTCTATGTTGTATGTCTGAGGAGCCATCTTCCAAATGAGGTGGTAAACTGAAGCAGTACTTTGGTGGATTTAAGAGAATCCGGGACACTATTTCAAGAACAGCAGGGAGTTATGCTTGGTGTCCTAGCCAATAGTTATCTCTCAAATCAATATCTCATTATCTGGCCATTATCATATTATTGTCTGTGGACCTTGTTGTACACAAATTGGCAACTGTATTTCCTACATTCTAA